CCTGCGTTAGTTATGGTGCCATTTTAGCGAATGAACCCCACTCAAGCCAGTGTCATATACGTCAAAATCTGTCAATGCACGTCGCTCTGGTTCGCATTTCGGAACAAAAGACAGGAGCTCACTTCGTAATCGATAGACATTCGTTTCGGCCGTTCATTCTGAGGTCTCCTTGCAAAAATTCAGAATGTTTCCAAGGCTTTTTCCGAGTGTGACGTGCAAACTGACAGATTTTGACGTTTTCGACACTGACTTGAGCGATATTCATTCGCGGTATTAAACTAACACACGACGTGAGCTAGCGCTCCGCGTCGATGGATCATTCGGTGAATTAAGCTTCCGTCACTGAGTTCTCGGTAGTGTTCTCGACGTCCCAAGCCGTAAAAAAATCTGTAAGCGGGTGATCGAGTAGCCAACAAATTGAAACGTTTCAGACAGCTTTCAGGTCTCTGACGAAGACCTAGCGGTCGAAAATGAAGGCCAACTAAAAAAGATTCCATCTTGAAAACCTCGTTAGGTAAAAAGTAATACTATCTGGAAACAGTGCAGTAAAAAATAGGAGTTGCCCAAATATCAGCATGACTGTATGAAGCTTTCATGGTTCGCAGATACGCGCAACTTAATTTCTATCATGGTAGCTTGTTAATCGTAAATCACGTTGTTTTTGGACAGCGTCGAAATGTAGATGTAGGTTAGTATCAGGTCGACGTAAAACTCATTGACCATTCACATGAAAAAAACTATAATTCAGAGAGAAGAACGCCTTCTGGCTCTCCTAATTGAATCTTGATGCACAACACAACACAACAAGCGAGCCACGAAAAATATGTTCGCTACTTATTTATTATTCTCCAGTACTTATATAATAGTAGAATTGGTGATATCTGTCATTAAACAGAATCGTGTTCATATGAAAAAATGCATCTACCCACTAATTGTCCCAAATCAGGGTGAATACAGATTGTTGCAGACAGGCACCATGACGTCATCAGAAAATTTACGGATTAGCTGGAAACGCTCTCTTATGTTCTCTGCTTCTTTGTTTGCTCAGAACTGATAAACCACCGTTGCTGCTCTCACGTCTACGTCGCGTCCAAAGAGAAGAAGTTGCTGTTTGTGCAATTCTAAAGTTATTTGATATACCTTCAAACAGTTTTTGAATGCTTTATATTAATACAATACTCGTACTTTTACCTGTTGCAGTTTCTACCGGATTTCAGGCATGGTTGTCTCATTCGTAATTCGGTTTTTTTGCCTTACATTGAGAAGCCCAGATATAGACCATTTGATCACCAATCCAATAATCACGGGATACCACATGTATACCGCATATACTATCTACAATTAGCACATGGTATAGCTCATACAAATCTATAATGATGCAAAATTTGAGCTATCTGTGAGCGATCAAAAGGGCTCGACCAAACGAATTTTCGCACATTTTTTTATCACTTGAGCAATTTTTTGCTGAATATTGTTATGACATGAACTTGACGCCTTTTACTGTTTTCGAATTTGGTCTTACAAAAATAATTATTTGAAAGGAAAAATGTCTAGTTCAAGAGAAAATGTGATGCACGGAAAAAACGCTTCAGCTAACACATTTGACCGCTCCTGCTATACTACACACAGGGGGAGGAAGGGACAAGATGAAAAAATAGAAATTATTCGATTGAAGCATTGAAGTGCTATTCAACGAGCATCAAAAGACGCGCTCTCATCCTGTTTCCTTTTTGGTTGTATATTGTATACACTAAATTTTGTGGCAGTACTATTGAAGTTTAACCATGATGTTCACGGCCGCGACGGTGCGATATTTCAAGCGATCATTCGACAATGTATTATGAGCCAATTGAAATTAAATATATAAAGTAAATAAATGAAAATTGAATAAATGAATGAGTAGAAGCCGATCAGGTTTCTCAAGAGATATCATTTTACATTAGAAGATCATCGAAGAACAGACCACCATATATAGAGTGATGAAGATGCCTTCCTTCAGGTCATATTGCGGAGTCATGAAAAATAATCCTGGTACGACACCGATCATCGACAGTGCGACTGTTTGGACGAAAATCTGGAATGCTTATCTCTTTAGCGTTTCAAACATATGTATGTAGAGGGTGTCGAAAAATTACGTCCTTGTGATATCTGAGCCCGCTATTTCATAGAAAAGATTGATTGCCCTATTTCTGAAGAAATACCCAAGTCCTATCGCACGACTAGCTGAGAGCGATTTCTTCAAAACTCTGTATCCCCTTCAGAGTCGCGCAGAAGAAAGCAATGGGACGAAGAAGAGCATATTCGAATCAAACTTATAACAGAGTGTGAACGGACTATCAACACTTAAGCAACGAACGAATGAGATCATTGAGAAAATTGACCGAAGTGGTGAGAGTAGCTATAAAAAAGTCATACGATCCATAGTAGTAAAAAATGAGCTTCGAATTCGAAATTCGAAACTGTCCATCATACGGACAACATTTTATCGATTGAGCTAGCAATAAACTAGATCGAAAGGGAAAACATTTTGCGGTTTTTACTTCTCACGTTTGGAAAACTGAGGACAGTCTATGGTTGACAGAAAGGAGTTCTCCCGTCAGACTAGCTGGAAATTCTCAAAAGCGCCATCTTATCAGGCTTTAAGAAAATTCGTGAGCCAAAAGTTGCCACAAGAAGTCCTCCTGAAATTCCGATGATCTAAAGGAGGAATTTACGATTAGAATGAAGGTCGAAGAAAGGGAAACTGACCTAGTTGAGGGACCCACGGACCTCCTGAGGGTGCGAACTGACGCGCAATTCGCATGGAAAAATTTGACCTCGGCGACCTATCATGCCTCAAAGCTGGCGGGTCCGGCGATCTCCGCCCACCGATCATCTGATCACTCGCCGTAGTTCAATACGTGGCGAGTGATTAGATAGCTGAGAGAGCGCGATGAGAGTCGCATCAATGCTCAAATCAACGGGCAAGGAAGGGGTCCATTTCTCGGGTTCTGGGCCGTTTCTCATGGTTCTTCCTTCTTTCGTGTACCACTCACCATCCCTAGGTTAATTTGAAATGGGTTGCTTTTCATCGTGAATTCGTCCTTTAAGGCATTTGTATTATCAGGACAGACTCCATGACTTTTATCGGTGGAAGTACGTAAAATAAACTGAACTTTCATCAAGAAACGACTCAGTGAAGCTGTAGCGCCGTAAACAGAATCATCGCAATTGCATATTCCAAAAGGGCTATGTTCAAACCTATGGAGCCCATAATGTACCTCCACTTTAACGAAGGATGTGTGGTTGGTAAAACGCCTCTGCAATTTTAAACACCTTGCCCGGGTTGTGGAATGAGGATCCGAGTACACGGCATGTAGAGGGTTTGGAGACTTTGCGAAAAGATTTCGCCATTTCAGGATAATTTTGGAGTTGACTACTATCGCTTCACCACCATGAAGAAAAAATGGAGACTATACCAAAACTGATGGCCGCCACCTCAAAATATCCATGTAGTTAAATAAATGAAATGTCTTGTCAATTTGCTGTAATAAATTTTACTTTTCTCCAAATGTTTATGAGCGTTGTGAAGGCGGGAAGTTTGGAAGATAACTGCATAGAAGAGTCTCTCTTCGTAACGCACGTAAGAGTTTGCGAAGCTATGTGCAGAAGCCATCAAAAAGATCTCAAGGAGCGAAGAACAGCAATACAAGATGAAGGATGGCGGGAGCATTCACAATGTCCACCGAAATTTACCAGCTATAAGACCAAGTTTGCCGATCATTTTTAATGCTCCAGCCAATGCACCATAGTCGGGAGATCAAACGATGAACGATCTCGCCCGGAGGTGAGCAGGCAAAAGCGAACCTTGTAGAAGCATACAAAAACATCCAGGAAGACGAATAACATTGGGTTGGCACCACCTCTTCGATTCTGCAGTAGTTCCTGCCTTGGCTCAAACTTCAGGGCCTCGATTTCGCGGCAATAAAAGCATGCACAGTGCTCTCAAAGAAGAACATTTATTTATTTATTTATTTATTTATTTATTTATTTATTTATTTATTTATTTATTTATTTATTTATTTATTTATTTATTTATTTTTTAATCTTTCCTTATAGATAACCTACATAGTTATAGCTCAACAATTTTTTCTTAGCTAGGCGTTTAATCAATGTTGTTGCTCAATGTTATTTGTTATGTTGTTTAAACGTTTATTCAACCTTTATTCGATGTTCCAAACAAATCTAATATAAACAAATATAATAAATAAATAAAAAATAAAAAAAAATAAATGTTGTTTGAAATTCCCCTGTACATATAGATGTAGAAGAGATTCTGGAGTACCAGATATGTAGTTGCCCGTAAAGTGTGAAAACATTAATGCGGTAACGTACCTGCACTAGCAAACCTCTTGACAACTTGTTCTGTGCCCTTAAAATTGCATGAGAGTAATAGTTCAGTCGAAAGTGACGGCGTAGTATGAAATAGCATATGCACATAATCGAAAGAATGACGAAATAGAAAACATTAAAAAAGGTGTAGAGCACTTCCTCAACGAGTGCCGATTAAACACAATTTTTATCAGAGTGGGAGAGCCTGATTGAGAGGGCAATACATATGTTTTAAGAGCAGCAGCGCAGGTAAGCAGTAGAAATACCAGCATCCAGTACACTAGCCAAAAGAGGTTGCATAAATGGAAATCTCTTGACATTTCCAGTTTCGTGAACTAGACCGCAAGCAGGCAAGGAACGCTCATTAGGTACTGTACCGATACAAGTGAGCTGTGAATTTGTACGCGTCTCGATAGCTAGGTCATGATGCTGAGAAGTGCAGTGGTACAGGCCTGAGCTCACAAGCAAAAAGTCGTGTGATCGACGCCTTGTAGAAAACATGCTTCAGCAACTTTGAAATGTCGATTCTTTGAAATTGCCTTAGTTTCTCAGCTAAAATGCAATCTGTTACAATGGGAGATCACTCATTCAAGAGAGCATCTCTGAGAGCATATTCGAAAATCGTAGGTGCCAGTGAGCGGGTGTCTTCGAGCCGAAACTTTCTCTTGAAGTTGCTCGATCAAAAAGTGGCCCCGCGTTTGCATGCACTAGGGCTCCAAGCAGGGCCAAAGGACAGCTGAATCTCATCGCATAGGATGCAAAAGATTCAACAGCAACGCAGTATCTTCGAAGCACTTGCACCTGCGATTTCGGCGAATCCAGGATTGAGATAAATTGCTTCAGGACGGAGAGCATGGATATTCCTGTATCTGTACAAATGAGGTGCTAAAGAATGCCAACGAACTTAGCCCTTGTCAAACTACGTAGCAACTCTTAGGCCGATGTCAGACTTTACGAATCGCGCGATTCGCAAAGTCTGACATCGGCCTTAGGAAGATTTGACTGTGTCAAGAGTAATTTGGAAGTTATCACGTGAGAGCTTTCAGGGAAGAAAATGGGTTCAGCCTATCATGAGCGAAGCACTACTGTTTCCCAATACTGGTACCCTGTTCCCATTCCAAGAGAGAGAAGGCTCTTGACTTCTCCATAAGCGCCCTTCATAATAAGATGTCTCCGGATAGCAAAGTTAGAGATTGGGAGCAGATGTACAGCTCAGGATGACTTCGAAACTGTAGATTCAGTTTCGAATGTCCTGCTTGTGCATGGTGGAACAGTATAGGACTGGATTACTATGGAGAGCTGATTGTGGGTCAGACAGTTACAGCTGAAGCCTGCGCACAACAGCCGCCCGCGTGGACCGAGCTCTGCGTCGTCAAGGGGTGAATTCGGCCAATGTAAACTATTGCACCATAACGCAAGACCACATGTCGTGAAAATCACGCAACAAGAAATCGGGGAGTTGGGCTGGGAAAGCTTTGTTTCCTGCGCTACATAGCCAAGAACTAGCGCCATCCGAATTCCATTGTTCTAGGCCAATACAATATTCCCTAGCAGCAAATAGATTCAGTAAATGCGACAATGTCAAAATTCGGGTACTCAACTCTTTCGATACATACCTGAAAGAGTTCTATGATGTAGGCCTCCATGCTCTACGTAACAAAAGGTGAAAAGCGAATGACTCACATAGAGTATTACTTTTATTTAGAATAATCGTTCATTAAAAACGATATTTCACGGGAGCCTAGCTGTATGTTGTCCCGGAAGACAAAATGGCAACGACGACGTGGATTCAATCCAGTTACCTTCTGCGCGTAAGCACGGACCAATACCGCTGCGCTTTATGGAATCGTAACTAACTATAAGTTCAGAGAATCAGTTAGTAGGCAGTGAAGCATATTTGTACCCAGTGCCTCAGAGAGAGAAAGAGAGAGAGTGAGAGAGGAAGCGTTCAGTAATATACACCTCACTTCATTTGGCCGGGTTAACCTGATATGATTTCCTGGTGATCAATTTTCGACCCACTTGGAGTCGGTCCTTCGTTGAATGATTTTTTGAGAAGATTGAGCAATGGTAATTCATGTGTAAATAGCTTATAGGGCGGAAGTGGTGTAGTGACAAGTGGCGCGCTCACCACGCGAGCGGTCCGGGATCAAATCCTGGGTCGTGAGTCGCCCGGGCCAACCAAGCCTTCCATCCCTCCGGGGTCGGTTAATTGGTACCAGACTTGTCTGGGAGGATAAAAACACTGACTTGAACATCGGCTGGCCCCCGCAAGTCATTGTATAGGCCACATCGCATTCAAACGCCACTACGAATGTACAAATGGAAGTAGAATGCGTGCCGCATCCCAAAAAGGGATTGATCAACGGCAAATGCTTTATCCTTTATCCTTTATAGCTTAAAATGCCGTGAGATGCCTCTGGGATTTATATGCGGCGTCATTCTTTTATACAGGGGTGGCCAAAAAAAGAGACACTTCACTTCAAAGTTCAGCCAGCATTAATCACACTTTGCTAGAATCAAATCGACTGAACCCAACTTAGTATTAAAGAGCACACTCTAATCTATCTAAATGTTACATGACAGCCTTCTACACCGACGACATCAGAAGATTTTCCCACGGAAACATGGTTCACGGTACGAGCTCAACGAGGTCGTCGAGGTACCATAGGCCATTACGACCTCCCCGAAACGCTGGTTAAAAGCGGTCTTGCACAGTAAACAGCTAGTGTCTCCTAGAAGTTATTCACCATCTAATCAATTGAAGAAATCATGTAGCAGCTTCAGGCCGGAGCGATTACAGCAAGCCTCGTTGAGCTCGACGGTGACGACAGATGACGTCATATTTTGAAGACGGTGGAGGCAGTGAAAAGGGCCTACTTCTGCTTACGTGGGAACATCTTAGGAATATTCCGCCATAAAACTCTCATTAACATCGGCGCCCTGTGCGACGAAAAGTTCGATGATGTGCGCCATGGGCAAAGTGTCTCTTTTTTTTGGCCACCCCTGTATATTCTCAACCCCTCGTGGATTTTTGATTAGGGACTAGCTGTATGAAAGTCCGCATGTGAAACCGTTTGTTCAATTTTGAATGTATAAATGGACGTACTTTAAAAACAACGATCGCAACTCCGGTGAATGCCGTAGAGGAGAAAGCCACAGGAGATATCAGAATGAAGAATAGTTTACTCTTTTTAGGTCTACAAATACAGCGTGAACACAGCATAAGTACTTTGAGTCAACTTAAACTCGGTAATTAAACTCACCTTATAAAGAGTAAAAGCCGATGAACGTTAAAAAGGGTAAGCAAGATGCTTTCTGCGGTTTGCACCATGACGGAAAGGACCATTATTACAGTGGTTAACCACATGGGCACGACAATGAATGGATAACCAGTCTGCCGCTCATTATCAAGAGTAAATCGCTGAAAAATCGTTCAAATGTTTGCATACGATTTGTTGTTCTATACAAAGCATACCTCATTTATGACAATTGTAAGTACTGAACCACAGATATATATTACAGATTGTGCAATCAAAAAATTTTGATAGTGCGTAAGAGAGGCACGGTTGGATTTTATACGATGTATTATGTATCCATGAAGCAAGAATGTACAAACGGTAGCCACAACTGTGTTCGCGTATTGGAATATTTCCAGAGCTTTGGCATTTGAAACCATAGCTCTAGGGTGGAGAGATGTCAATAAAACAAAGTGTTTAATCTTCAACGACTACTGAGAAATCATTTTAATTGTTTTCAGATCATATCAGGTGTCTCGCCGTTTACGAGAATGCTTTAATACTTCAGGTGTAAGCAAGAACCGTGAAAGAAACCATCAAGGTGATGCGATATAACCTGCTGCTTGTTTTGGCTAATTGCCTTTCTTTTGTTGTTGTCCATGAATATTTTATGGTTTTGGAGTCGTTTGAAAGAACACAATCTTCCTAACATTGTTGTCATATGTAACCACACATTACCCCACTTGCTCCCTTAAGGATAAAGCATTTGCCGTTGATCAATCCCTTTTTGGGATGCGGCACGCATTCTACTTCCATTTGTACATTCGTAGTGGCGTTTGAATGCGATGTGGCCTATACAATGACTTGCGGGGGCCAGCCGATGTACAAGTCAGTGTTTTTATCCTCCCAGACAAGTCTGGTACCAATTAACCGACCCCGGAGGGATGGAAGGCTTGGTTGGCCCGGGCGACTCACGACCCAGGATTTGATCCCCGGACCGCTCGCGTGGTAAGCGTGCCACTTGCCACACACCCTTCCGCCCTTTTAGCCACACATTTGCTCCACTATGGTGACGAGAAAAAATTATGGATGTTGCTCAAGTAGAAGCCATAAGACATGAGATGACATGAGATGTAGGAGATCCAGTGGGACCCAAAACTGTTAAGAAGCAGTTTATCGAGTGTATTAATCGCATAGGCCAAAGAGCTGGTTGACTGCAAACAGCCGAGACCCAATTGATTGAGAAATTATTTCGGAGCACTCTTTTTTGCTCACGTTCAAGTCAAATAGTGAAACGAATATACAAATTTTATACAAAGACATGCTTAGGAGACCGTGAGCCTTCGAATGACATGAAAACCATTGAAAATCGTCAACAGAATTAAAAAAAGGTACGAGCCAAAACATACTTAATAATATATATGTAGCTTCGGTACCTCTCGCTATTTACGTACATGAACTTTTCATCTCCAACAAAATTTTTTTAGATGAAACTAGAAAACAAAACCGGAACTCTCTATCTTATCAAAACCTTTATCGAGGGCTTCATCAAAACCGTATTAACTGTGATCTCTCTTCACTGAGCTTTCCATTAGCGAGGCAGATACGGCAGTAGCTTACGGCAGTACCTTACGTCCATTCCATGAAGTCATATCAACTGTGAAGTTTACAAGTGTGGGCGATAACATAGTTTCAAGCCAGATGCGCCATTCCGTTTCACTCACCTTCACGTCTGTAAAGGCGCGTAGGAGACGAGCACTGTCCCTGGAGAAGAGCCCCACTTATTAAGGCTGAGTTACTATTAGTTATTAGGCTTCATATTATTAGTTATTAGATTCTCCAGAAAGTAATGAGGGTCTTCACCTTCGTGTTTAAAGCAATATATCTTATGGTTAGCTCAAATCAGTATTTCTGGTCATAGGAAATTGCGTACCTCGTGGAACAAGAAACAAGGTGAATTAGTATTTGAGCTCAAAATATAGAGCCCATGGAAGAACGAAAATCGTCATAGGTCTTTCTCACTTTGCCTCAGCTTTCAAATCTTTCTCTGTCCAACAAGCTGTCGAAATACCACATGTGGCGTAAAAACCAACTTGCAAGAACAATGAGAACGGCTCATTTTCTTCTCCTGATACAGACCTTGCTATTTCCCGTGCATAACACCCGTGTGATGGACAGACCTTAGTACTTTGCCAAGCTCGTTGATTCCAGGAAGCTATAAGGTATCATTACTCACGGAACGATCAGCCGGTCCTCACCTTGTGGAACTTCTGCTTTAGAAGAGTTTTTAATGTTCGTCACCGCCAAGATTTTCAGAAAATTTGTCAGAAACTCTTTTGTCCAACTGCGGTAAATAGGCGATTACACCTGTCTGTATTTTGAAATAAGACTTTTCACGGGGTTCATAGAGCAACGATTATAACTGGCAAATGCCAAGGTGGCATGGCATAATTAAAATCGTCATTAAAGCTAGCATGCTGCCGAGCCTAATCAAAGTTATCGTAGCTCAACAGTCGTCTTATTAAGATCGTAGAAGTTCTGACTGCTTTTTCTCTGTCCTTTGTGGGTTCACTTTATGAGGACCTTATGTGTTTTGCAGTGGATTTGGGCCGTGTTGTTCGACTCTGCCGAAGCTCGTTTCAGTTACCATCTTATGGATTGAAAACGTTATGGTACTAAGAAATTCTTTTTCTTGAATGTCTTTCTCAATACAGCACTCTGAGTAGCCTGAACCAGCATATAAGCCTTCATTGAATAAAGATAGCGTTGTGTTTAGTTCACCTCCTGAGATTGTACTCTACCAAAACTATCAAGTGTACAACTGCTTCACCTATTTCGTAGAGAACTTAATATCCCTCTTTTTTTTTCTTGATGGGCGAGTTCAAACCGCAGGGAAAGTGCCCATTCCGCGACTTAAAATGCGTAGCACACGCATCTACAGTTACGAATGCATTGACGTCTGCGTCTCGCTCATTCCCAATGCTCCCTTGCCACCGGGTCTCGCCTCGATGCGCATCGCACCTTGGTGTCATTTCTGAAAGCAATTACCAAGCTTAATTGATCCGTGGAATATGCTCCGCAACGATTGCTCTATCTCAGAATGGACAACATAGCCACAAAGGAGGAGGCGATCGTTGACTGGATACAGACAGCCAATTCGATTGTGGCCTCAATTTGTGGCATCGTAATACACTGTTATATCTTGTACAGAATGCTGAATAACTATGCACCGTTGAGTCAATATCTGAATCTGATCATCGTTCAGTCAGTTGCTGGATTTCTTCTCAATTTAGTAGAGTTAATTGCTAATCAGGTCAGTTTCGATCTCAGTGGGCTTTGCTCCCCTTTACTTGTCCTTGAATTTCAGAGATACACCTTATCTGGTGAGCGCCTCATGTCTTTTTCTTTTCTACCCTTCGGTCCCACCACTGAGAAAGTGGTCATGTTCATCAATGCTGCTCTTTATTCCTTCGAGCAGTTCCTCATTATGATCTTCAACATCCATCGTATTTTATTGTTTATGAGGTGATTTTATGGTTACTGGCCTGTTACTGAAAATGATTTATTGGAGTCACGAGGCGAGTTCAAAGTGAAACCGAACAGTTCAACCTCCCGAAGCATGGCATCCGCTCCCTTCCGTCCCCTCCCCCTGCCCCCCCGACCTTTGCCCAATGGGATTACTGCGCGAGCTGCACAAATACGTGCAATCGAGATGACCCTTCGCAATGCTGATATTTTAGGCTAAGTCATGTAATTCCCTAGCAAATTTTATAAATAAAAGGATAAAGATAAAGCATTTGCCGTTGATCAATCCCTTTTTGGGATGCGGCACGCGTTCTACTTCCATTTGTACATCGTATAACTTCGTATTGTATGCGATACGGTTATTACGTCTGGTACCAATTAACCGACCCCGGAGGGATGGAAGGCTTGGTTGGCCCGGGCGACTCACGACCCAGGATTTGATCCCGGACCGCTCGCGTGGTGAGCGCGCCACTTGTCACTGCACCACTTCCGCCCAGCAGATTTTATTATAGGGAAAAAAAAATAAAAAAGTAATCTAGTTTTAAGCTAAGGTAGAAAATCAGAGACATTTTCAGGAATCGTTGGTTGAAGAAATTTTACATTGTTATTACGCCTATTGCACTTATCTATACTACACTTTACGGTATTTCTGCATCGTTATCAGTGAGTAAAAGTTTCGTCATACTCTGCCTCAAAAAAGCCAGACGTCGCATACAGATCGCACCCGCTCAGCTTTGACATTGAGCGAGGGGCAGCGTGAAGGGAGGGTGGTTCCGCATTTAGAGGTATCTACTTGTGCCGCGATCGGATGCAACTATACTGGTCGAACAAACGCGGATAGGCTTGAACATCAACTGGCCTCTGCAACATGTGTTGTGCAAATACCCTTCCAATCTTTCTACGAACCTGAATGCCTGGCGCATACCAACACTGGAAACTAACCTCTGTTCTCGACATCATACCATCGCAGTCACCTATGGAAGAGCGTGAACCAAGGTTCGACAATGGCAGGTGGCGTCTAGCATACGCATAGCCCCTGAATCTAATCCCGGCCCCCAAGCTACCCGGCTCTTCCCATCTTTCCCGGTTGAGAGCTTTGTGATAGACTAGTTCTTCATTGCAGAAGGCCTGGATATAATTTCTAAACCCAAGTACTTATTCGAAGTCTTTACGATTCACTGAGATAAACGGGAGCGTGGCGCATTCGAAAAAAGGAGGCTCATTGGCGCCAGGCTGTGCCGTTGGCTTGTTACTTCGAAAAGTAAATATTTCTGGGGTACTATTTACCTTTACATCCTTCTGTCGTTGTAGAATAAATTTATAGTAATATTAATATTTACAGATGCAGATACTAAAAGGAGTTATGAGAATGGTTTTCGTTCCATTTGTCTTGATTATATCTATTGTGGGTTATGTTCTTTTGAAAAGGCATTTCCGCAGTAATAGTGGCCACACGACCAAAGTGAAGCAAATGCAGGCTAGATTCTCTACTAGTATCTTGCTCGAGGTAATTAGTAAAATTTAGTCCGATCACAAGGCACTTAGATTCCGATAGAGCCATTTCAACGACATCTCGTGCACTTATAAATAGAGGCACATCCTACGACGAACTCAAACACATCAATCTCTGCCGTGTTTAGGATAAACTCCTCAAAACAACAGAAAATACACTACTCTAAAGGCACGAAAGTGCTCAGAGGGGGCGCCTGTCACTTTTGTTGCAGCGAGTTTAATGTGTTGTTGGCGATGCGATCAATTACGTTTAAGATGTGCCTGCGTCTCTCTCGTCCCTATACTCTCTCATCTTTTTTGCCTCGACGTAATTATCTCTTCGTTGCAGCAATGGTCCATGGCTCAAAAAATGAGGACCGTATTATGACTATTTTTACTGGCCCACCGCGGTCAGATTGGGTGT